GGGTGCCCGCTGTCCCGTCAGTGGATGGGACAGAAGGGGACCAGGGGACCTCTCCCTATGCCACAGGGCCGGTCTCCGCCGTCTCCCACTCCCCAAGCGCCCAACCCGCACCTGTGTCCCGGCCCCATGCGACATCCCACCACTGACCGATGGACACGAGCTTGATGTGCTCGCGCTCCAGAAACTCGAGGGCCACGGACACGTTCTCCAGCTTCATCTGGCGGAAGTTGGGGCGCGGGTGGAACTTGCGGTACATGCGCTTCTGGCTGAGCACCTCGAGCAGCGCGATGAGGCGCAGCCCGTCGCTCAGGTCGCGCTGCAGGTCGGTCAGGCGCTTGCCCACACACTTGAGGTGCTCGTTGCACCAGCGCGTGAACGTGTTCTGCTGGATCTTCTTCCACGGCGCGTCCTCCGCCAGGTCCTTCTCTGTGGACGGCATGTCGTCCACCTCGTCCGCCAGGCCGAGGCCGGGACATCCATTTTTCCTTAGACAGGAGGATCTACTTGTGTAACGCTTAACAAGTGGTTGGTTGGGTTTTCTTTGCATATCACCTGCATTTCACACTGAGAGAATTGAAAATGAACTCCGTAATAAATAGCTTATAGGAAAAAGCTTACATAATGAAACAAAATTTATGTTTAAGACTATTTTCATGGGTTACAGTTTCTGATTTGATTAATAGACAAGCCAACCCTGAGGTTATTTGATCATTGCTGAAAATATTTGTTCTGATTGGTCGAGGGCTGCCAGAACAGTCATTTCTCCTGGGTAGTAGGTCCAGGGTCCCATGTTCCCACTGCGTGATTTGGCAAGACAAATCTGACAGGACCAACTTCTCAGGAGTAATCCAATCTGACACAGATTCTAAGATTAAATTTCAAGGTGAGAAGGTTTAAATTGACTTTGAACTAGACAATATTTTTAATCCAGTAGATATTAGCAGGTGTGTCATGGAAAATTTATGCAGTATTTTTATCCCATTATTGGCTATTCATTTTCATTCAAGCATATTAATTAATCTTGCTGAGCCTTAGTTTCTTTCCTTCTTTCCTTCCTTCCTTCCTTCCTTCCTTC